TGTATTGTTATATTGTGGTTTCTTGCATGCTACAACAGAATGACAGTATTCTTTATATTTAATTGTCTTCTGACTGCATAAAAAAGAGGAAAATGCCAGGTCCCAGGTTCAGTGCCTCTGTTGTTACATTGCTAGGAGTTTTCATCGTAGTTTAACACTTGGCTGCAGATTTAGTTCTGGGAATTATTTTGTCCAGGTAAGCCACCTAGATTTTAAAAAGGTAGCAAGCCAGGGACTGTATTTCAGAGCCAAAGCCACATTATTGAAACACATCAATTTATCTTCACCTTGCACATGCCACTCAGTCTGGGGCCCTTAAACCCTCCTTCAAATACCTCCTGAAAAGGGAATGTTTGCAGTAAAGTACTGAAGAAGTGAATATGGCTACAGTAGCTGTATCAGCTTTTACTTGCTTTCAATTTACAGACATTGCTATTTTAGTTGCTATTAATTGCAGTGATACAAGGAAGTTTCTGCCACTGCTGAAATAGATCGATAATAATAATTAAAAGAAAATTACAACTACAAGAACCCTATGCCATAATATGCCCTGCAAAGATCACTGAATTTTAAAGGCCACTGGGTCATGCAGTCTTAAATTATTAAACAATAGACAGAGAACTTTGGGTTTAGGTCATTTAGATTTCTGTAACTTTCGCTTCCAGCCATTGGCTCACAAAACTAATTTTTGTAGAAAGGATGATCTTTTATGCAACTCATTTGAAAACTATCTATTTGGTTATCTGTATGTACCACCCTGACTTCTTGTTCCATTCTTCACAGCATGTGACATGTCATTTTACGAACACATTTCCAAAAGAGGTGAGAACAAGCTTTTAGGTTTTGTTTCATGACAAACTCAGAAACTCATAAATCTCAGTAAAAATTCAGGGAGAAAACAAAAACACAAAACAAAACAAAATTATATTCTTCCGTATAGTAAGAGGTTTTTTCGGCTGAATTTAATACCTTATTTGTGAAAGCATTTGGTCAAAAGCTTGTCCATCCACCTAATGTGGGGAATATTTACCTAATATACTTATCTACAGAAGCTCAAAAGCAGTGCTCAGCAGCACTGTATCAGTGTGTCTGTACCTGAGTGAGGGTACCCGAGGTCCTTTCAGCTCCAGGAACTCTCCCAGTTGCATGGCTCCATGTGAGGACAAGAGCCAAACACCTGCACAACATGCTGGTTTCCTGGGATGCAAATTGATGTATTTGGTCCCAAAGGGAGTTGTAGCATGGTTTGACCATATCTGGTCAGCACCCGCAGGCACGCTGTAAACTCATTTGCTGGCAATTTCAGCACAATGTGATTCTGGTAATTGTGACTTACATGGAAAAAATGGCTTTTGGCAGCCCAGACTGACATGGGACCAAAATCTTTGGATCCAAACACCACTATCAAAACCCATTACTCCAAAATTTTGTGTCTTTTTTGCTATTTTTTTTATTCAGCAAAAAAGAGACAGACAGACATTTTTGGATTAAATATGAAGTTTCGGAGAACTCTTTTATTTAAAAAGAAATAAAAATCAGCCTAGTTTCAGAGCTTCTGGGCACACACTATGCATTCTGGTTCATACCTTGAAAATTGGCTGTGGATTCCTCAGTCTGTGTTACAGTGTCCCCTCTCACACTTCTGTATAAGAAAGGTTTTCTGTATGGCTTTGTTTTAGCCAGAATGTATTTCAGTGCAAGTAATGCTTCCCAATCAGAAAAGATTTCATGCATTTTTCTGATTTCTAGGACTACCATCCTACCAATTCTACTAAATAAAGTAAGTATCCCACTAAGGATTCCATTTTCTCTCTCTTAGCTCATTTTTCTCCAGTCTATTTTACCTTGTTCTGCTACCCTTTCAATACTACTACTAAAGCCACTTAATTCCTCGTCCATCACATCAACTTAGATCACTCTATGCTGTGTAAGGTATCCCTCATTATCCTATCTTTCCCCCTCCTTGTCACACATCCCAATCCCCCTGAGCAGACTCTAACAGCCTGGCTTTGTAACTCCAGGCATGGAAACCTACACCTCTAATTCTGCCTCAAATCATCTTAATACCCGCCATTTCTCAATTTGTGTGCCATAATCCTTTCCATCAAATCCTCCTACCAAGCCTCTACATCCACTGAACAACAAAATAACTTTGATTTGCAGTCATATTTGCCTCAGGTGGGAATTTCACAAGAATCCAGCCTTGACCTAACATTGCCCATGATGGAAATGACACTATGATGGAAATGACACCATTTCTTATTCAGGCTAAGACTGGCTGCATTTGAACAGCTACAACCCTCGGTAAGAAAGTACACACTTCTTTTTTTCAAACTCCTTTTTTTTTTTTAATCTTTGGTTTTTGCTCCTTAATTTTGGCATTATAAATAGCACTCTGGTGCTTAAGGCATCTTAATCCACTTCAAGCACCTGTATCACACAGAGCAGTCTGCAATGGAGAGGCACAAACCCAAACTTCCTCAGCCATATCCTTCCTTATGAGAGATCTGCCCACAGGGAGGAAGAGAAACCCCCTGCAATAGTATTCTCCCCTTTTCATCTAGTCCCTTAACAACTAGAAGAAAATGAATTTGATGCTTTATGTGGAAAAATGAAGGATGGAGGTGGGACAAACTAGGGAAACTTGGAAAGTCACCTTTCACTCTCTGGCTTTTAGGGCTATTCACTCTGATTTGGGTCCATCCCTCACCACTGCACCAAGAACTCAAAGCACCAGGACCTGCCACCAAGGTCTTTACTGCTAAGCTCTGATTTTCTGTAACTTTATCTGAAATGCCACAATCACTGACTCGAAAGCTACAAATATCCTTACCAACACACAGGGCCAAGGGATAGAGTTAAAACCTATCAAAATCAAGACCTAAAAGAATTCTCTCTCCTACTTGCTTTAAGAAGGAAACACACAGCTTCTAATGAGAAACTCTCCTTTTAATCAGAGCATCTCTTCCAAATTAAGATTATCAATTTCCTTATTCTTTACCTATGAACAGTGTATGAACATGCTGCTGCTGGGGGGCCAAAAAGTTAAATCCCAGACAAGAAGTACCAGTTAAAATGTATGTTAAAAACCAAATGAAAGTAAAGAGCATTAATAACTACAACCATCCAGAACACACCAACCAGCTCAAAGCTCTTAAATATCACAAATGAAGACTTATCACCAAAAAATAATAATAAAAAAAACTCCCTTGGAAGACAGAGAAAAGGAGAAATGTTGACCCAAGGATGAAAGACTGACTGTTTACATACCTGTTTCAAAATCAATTCTTTTCAGGCACTAGGGAAAACTGGAGTTGGTGGGGTTTGAAATCAAGTACAAAAGCAGTTAAAAGCCAATGTCTGCTGGAGGCTCCAAAGCCATAACACACCATTTCATGACATGCAAATATTATTCTTGGTTCTCTTATTAAAAAGTAGTTAATATCTCATTTTTTTTAAGGCAGGTGACAGCAGCTCCAGGATCACTGGAGATCATGATATCTTGCTACTGTTATTATATTTTGGTTCAAGTTTGCCACTTTAAGTGTCTCAATTATAATGCACTATGCCAGTGATTCTCTTTCCTGTCACAAATATTGCAGATGGTTTATTTCCCATCTATATGTTAGAGGAAGAGGTTAAGCTCATCATTTAAATATGTATTGTTTGGGCATAGAAATTTTCTCTTTGTTTTACAAATCAAAACACAAAAACTAGAGATAATGTTGCATTTTTATAAAAATCAGGTTCTTCTGAGCCTGAAATTGGTTATCTTAAAAATCTGTATTATCTTTACAACCTTTATAATACCACCTTCTTACACAGCCTGACTGTACAACCTGCTTTCAGATGGGCAGCCCTCATATGATCTTGAATTTAAGCTGCAAGTATTATCACTTCTGTCATATTCGCTATAAATAAAATGGAACAATGTCAAAAGATGGTACTCAGCACAGAGACAGGAATGGAATTTTAAAGGAGCTCTACAAATTTGCAGCAAATTCTGCACTAAAAAATAAGAATGTAGATTTTATATAGTGAGGATATATAACTGCAGAATTTGAGAATTATAAAAACAAACAAACAAAACACTAAACGATGTTCTGAGAAAAAACTATTACAATGTGAAAAAATTATCAGTGGCTTTTTCATCTGTTTATGGCCCTAAAGATAAAAGGCTCTAGAGAAAAATTAAAACAAGTCCTAATGCCGTTATAGTTGCATTTTAATAATGAATTTCTCTACACTGAGTCGTGCATGCATTATTTGTCGTAGTTATTGCTTGTGGTCTCTATTAGCTCAGGCTGCAAGCTCGATTTCATAAATGTTAACACATTTAGCAGTTAAAAAGCTCTAATTCAGCATCCATTTAAGATATTTATGTTTTCTCTCCTCAAACGGTTTCTAAAATTCCAGCAGTAGCTGAAGAACTGTTTAAAAAAAACCCAATAAAAACCAAACCAGAAATGCATCTACCTCCCAGCCAGACATTCAAAGTGAAATCAAATTAAAAAAAAAAAAATTACAGCCTGGTTCAAATTAATCCTAGGGCAGGATTTAAAAAATGCTCATTCAGAGCCATTCTCTGCTTTTGTATAAGTCAGTGGCAAATTTGCCACCAGCTTCAGCCAGAGTAGATACAGAATTGTAATTATTTACATCAGGCCCTGCAATAGATTAGGACTGCTGGGTACGAGCTGAAAAGGAAGCTGTGACAGGGGACATCCCAACTGGTCCAGTCCATTTTGATATGGACTTGCACCAATGCTTTTGGATGACAAGCAAGCAATTCTAAACACCCACACGTGGTACTGAAATCATAAGACACCTCTTCTCCAACACAGGAATGTCTTGTAGGTAAAACCCAGCAGCTTAAGGCCGTCCCCACGTATTTGCACAGAGCATGAGTTGCCTCTTATTGCTGTCAGCTGCTTGGGAACATGCTTCTAAATTAATCCCTAATTAAAATAATCCTTTTGAGACAGACTAAAATTACTTACCTCATCCACATTCTCAAAGGCATTGATGATGTCATATGGTAAACAGGACAGAAGATCAATCACAAACCACGTTTTCAGGTAGTTCATCCGTATGAGTTTGGGATCAGATATAACCTCTCCACCAGGGCCAACAAAGGTCGTATGAAAGTTCAAAACAATGTCAACCAGAAAAATAACATCCACTACACTGTCCAGCACGAGCCAGGCAATGTTGTTCTGTTTTGTCTTGAAGGACACGTTATATGGAACCATAATTGCTGTGTAGAAGGTTAGAATTAAGATGACCCAGTCCCAAGTGGTCTTAAAAGCACAATAGTGTAGTATAATGTGTGGTGGAGTCTTTGGAGCTTCTTGCTTGTACTGAGGAAGAATATCAGATCCCAGCTGGAGAACCTGTAAAAGACAGAGAAGCAAATGCTACTGTTTTCAACCAATATGATCCAATAAGGGGTCTTATGGATTTCTGTAAGGAGCAGAACAAAGATGGGACGGTGTTTGTTGGACACTGCAAGTCAACCCACAGTTTTCAAATTATCTGATTTATTTAGAATGTGTGGAGGCAACTATCACTCAATGAATAGGAGCAGCACGGCATCTAAGGATACTCCTGCAAAAAAGGTCTCTCCAGATGGACTGAGGGGAAACCATGCCAACAGCAAGGGAAGAGAGGTTCCATAGACAGGTTGTGGGTACTGCCACACCAGGTTGTGCTCTGCAGCTCTGGACATAGAATCATAGATGATCTTTAAGGTCCCTTCCAACCTTAACTGTTCTATCTCCAACCAGGGAATTTTCCACTAGACCAGGTTGCTCCAAGGCCCATTCATCTGGTCTTGAACACCTTCAGGGATGGAGCATCTACAACTTCTCTGGGCAACCTTTTCGACTGCCTCACCACCCTCACAGTAAAGAATTTCTTCCTAACACTTAATCTAAACATGAGCACTCATATTTGGAAGCATTACAAGACTAATTCCTTGTGCCTGACCTCTTTTTTAAACCACTGTTGAGCCAGAGCAACACCCTATCAAAGGTGAACCAGATTCCAGCCTTGCTGGCTGACCTCCTAAAATGAAACATTGTGTGCACAACTCCTGCCCTAACACCCTGGTGGCAATATCATGCTTCCTTCTTATTTTCTTCAAAAAGTTGCTGTTCTTACAAGCTCAATATCACTAGATGGTTCTCTTTTATTTCCTGTAATTACCTCTCATTTTTTGCGCAGGACTATAATCTCCTGTATGCTCACTGTTGGAAAATGTGGAACTGGAAATACTGCAAAGGAACCAAGCCAAATTCACTTAAGACATTCCTCCCAGTTAATCTAATTACCGCTTATCTCAGTCCAACACAAGAAACAAAAGCACAAAGGAATGCACACGTGGCAATATATTGCTCTGACAACTGAAAGATCCACGTGTATTTTGGAACTAATAACACCTTTTACATTTGTGGATCTCAAGTCTCTGTGGGATAAAATAAATAATTATGGCAACTTTAAAACTCTTTTCAACCTGTCCCACTTTGGAGCTGATGCACTGTATCTCCAGGGAGAGCTGGATTGCAAACAGCAGTCTCATATGTGTAAAACTGATAAACCCCTGGATGCTTCCTTGATGAAGAGGAGTAAATGGCTCTGAATAAACTGCACAACAGCTAAGAATATGAATTCAAGTACCACAGATGCAGATTCTCCATTAATTCTTTGCAGTCTTGTTTTTCAGATGTTTTTAAGAGAAAGCTGTTCCTGAAAACAGACAGTAAAAGTCTGGCTGTGCTGAAAATCTGTTCTTCAGAAATCACCAAGGAGCAACAAGAGCAGCCTCTCTCATACTTTGCCAGGGGATGTGGCTTCCCAACATGTCTCATCTGGGCCAATGTCAGGTTGCACCCTGAAGGGATGCAAACCTGTTCCCACCCTCCCTAAGGTCATATTTAGCAATCACGATCTGTGAGGAAAGTCAGTTAAGCTGATACAACAAAAAACTAACTTGTTACATTAGTTAGCCATTTATATTCTACAGGGTCAGTTGAATTGCATAAATTTACCCCGTGGCCAGAAAAGCACTAGACGCACTACCCAGGCAGCAGTGAGAGTGCAGCAGAGCCCCCCAGGAGCCCATGACTGCTCCCTTTGCCAACACCAGCTCTGCTGTAGCACAAAGCCCTGTATTGAACTCCAGCTGAAAGGCAACACACACCAAGCAGTGTAGTCCCATTGCCACTTGTCAGAGACTCTCACAGATGCCAAACCCCTGGTGAGACCCATAAAAGTATCAGCCTCCAGGTGTCCCCTCCCCAAGGACCAGGAAAGATTCACTAACAGCACTTCTACATTCCTATAACCACCCAATGGGCAAAGCTGGCCACTGTGGCACACTGAACTCACTGGTGGATCCATGGGTGTTCCCCTGGAATTAAAGCAATGATCAATACAGCCATTTTTTCAAAGCAGCCTTTGTGAAAATCCATGAAACTTCTTTCAAAGCCAAAACTTTCCCCTACACGTAACACACCATTTTGGCTTTGCCTCATAATCTGTTTTTTATCTCCGTTTATCTCTTTGGACTCATCAGCGTTCAACACTTCGATGATAAATCAGCACTGGGACTTCTTTCCTTGGTTTCTCCAGACCTATTTGTTCCCTGCCTTGTTCACTGGGGCAGGAGCTGGAAACATCCTCACCATAGCTGGAATAATAAGCTACTTAGGGCTCAAGCCGAATGCGATTAACATATGCTTGATAGTTCCCTGTGCCTCTGGTGGTGGAGTGCTTAGGAGTTCCCATGATACTGTAAAAGCATAATTATTATTCTTAACATAATATCATGCTGAGTTTGACATGGTGAGTGGGTGGCAAGTGGCTGTGGAGACCACTGAACTATAATGATTATTTCTTTCATGCTGCATGAATTTTTAATTTTAAATCACTAAAGAATACACAATATCTTGTTAGTCAGCTGCATTCACCACAGACTCTCTGAATTATTCCTGTGTATAGCTAATGAAAGTGGCTGATAACTGTTAAGCCTGATAAAGGGGAGCATTATGCTCTGCAAGGGGTGAGCTATGGAGATAATGCTCCTCTTCAAATTTGAGTTGTTATTATCAAAGTTCACTAAAACCAGAAAGGGAATGAAAAAAACCATAAAAATATTTAAAGCAGCAACCAGTTCTCAGCATCAAACGCAGGACAAACTCTCTGGCACAAGTTGACTAGGGCTGTAATTTTCAGTAGCCCATATATTTTGACCATATATTTTTGACCCATTTATTTTTCATTACCAACGGACATGAAGATGAAAGCAGTACCTCTGTTTCATCAGTTAACCTGAAGGTATTCACTTGTTGCACCATCTGCACTGTTAAGGAGATGTTTGCAACCTGCCAAAGAGGTTCATTCATCAGTTCTGAAGACAAAAGTGATGAGTAAAATACTGCAGGAATGACTTTGTAAGAAAGTCGAGACTGGGGTATATACACAGCCCATGTGCCTGTGCAATCCCAGGGACACACATAGGGATGCTTCCAGAGAGGTTTCTCTACCAATCCCATGTCCCTGGGAGAGTAAGCAACCATCCACAGGACTCAAGGACATCAAGCCTGGTTCCACATGGAGGAGCACACTGTGCACCCAAAGTCACAGAACAACCAGAAAACTGCATGCACAGAAACAGTTGATGTAAGTAAAAGCGACCCATGGAGAATGTTTTTGTGACCTGTCCCAGAAACGTGGCCTTGGCACGCAGTGGTGCTTTAGGACGAGTAGAGGAGAGGCTGAAAAAATCAGAGTCGGGAAATATTTCCCTCTAAAAATCTTATTTATCAATGGGAATTAGGATGGGGGGTTTCCCCCCCTCCCCAGTCTCTTCCTGCCTTGGGAAGGGAGCAGGCTGGTGTCCGTCCCACTTACTTCGGCTAAGCGGGAGTGCTTGTGCACCACCTCGGCCTTGTTCATGGGGGTCAGCTGCTGCAGCACACTCCGGCTGTTGGTCAGGGCCCGCGTCAGCCGAGCAAACTTGGTCCAACCTGCGGGAAAGAGGGAAATCACGTCACAAGTACTCAGGCCTCACTCATCGCCAGTAAATCTCCTTTGCGTTCGCTGATATTTAAGTCTTGGACTTGACCAGTTTCGCTACACTGCTGCACGGAGCAGCCCCAGGCTCTGGGTTTACAGACCTTGACAGAGAGGAAAAATACTGCTCCTTCCAGGCAACCACGGGTGAATGTGAGTGAAATCACAACGTGCTTTACTCTGCCTGCTAGGCACATTATATTAGAGGGATCACATCGTGCTTTCAGTCTTCTGGGCACTTACTCTGCTACTGAAATCTAACTCTCAGCCACTGAAGTTAATGCAAATGCTTTCCAGGTCTGCAAATCCTGCTGAAGGAAAATCCTCCCCAGCTACGGAAAGGCTCCTGCTAATTCAGGACCGCTGGAGCAGCCCCAAAAGTCTGATCCTTAAGTCTTTACTGTTTCTTGCCCCAGCTAAAATTCAGGGACAAAAATAAAACTTAGGAAAAAAAAAATAATTCAGGACTGCACCAGCAGAAATGCTTCAGATGAAAACAAAAGGAATCATTAAGCCTTTAAAGACAGATTAGAAACTCGATTTTAAATGGCATTAAGAAATACATTTAGCTATTATACTGATGATAAACAGCTGCTTTGAGCAGCTTGCGATCCACATACTGGGATGTACCTGGGGAACTTTTTTTCTGCAGCATTCAGCAAGAAGCAGAGTTTGTTACTGACAGCAGCACCAACCCAGGAATGTTTCATCAAGTCGGTCCTGCTGGAAAAACACCCCAACGTGACAACTGGCGTGAGTGTGTCAATGGATGGAGTAGATGGGTGGTAGCAAAGAAAAGGCACGGGTTTAAGCAGTGTAGCACCTCAATGTTAAGCAGGAAAATTGAAAATCAGGTATATGCAGGAAGGAAAAATCCCCCCAAGGACATTGAAGGAGATGCTCAACATTCAGTTTAGCCAGGTGTAACATCTCTTTTTTTTAACAGAGGAGTGTGGATAAAATACCAAAGAAGTTATAGACAGGAAATGGCTTCAGGAGAATGTTTTAATGTTATTTAACTTGAATGCTGAGTAGGTGAAAATTGGGGGAAATATTAATATCTGAGAAAGGAAACACAACATTTCTGTCTTAGCTAGATTTAATTTTAAATGCCTCCTGTCTGACAGGAGTCAGAGACTTGGAAAGTTAAGGGAAGCCCAGTGGTAGATAAAATAAAGAGCAGAGAACAGAGAAGACAATGAAACTTCAGGAAGAAAAATAATGTACAATTTGACTTTGTCCTTTACCACACAGATATCACATTCACGCAAATGTAAATCCATTGTTCATCATTTAGCAATTAGAACAGCCCAAAATATCATGGTATGCCACCAGCACAGCACAAACATTTGTGTCTGGCTATTTATATATGACCTCAAAAATGCACATAAAAAATTCACTGGGAAAAGGTAAAAAATAGAAGCATTTTATTAACTTTTGAAATGCAAACTTAAAATGTGAGCTTTGAGTATGCCTCATGCTTGTTCAGCTTACAGGGATATTCAATTAGGAATATGCACTTTCTGTATTAAACAAGGTCAAGGGAGACTACAGTGATCTGAGTATGAACTATTAATTTCTAGAATAAATTCTTGTGCTTTTCTTTTTGCTAATTGTCTATAAAACTGCTACAAGCTTTAAGACAGAAGTCAGAACTGTTCTTCATCTTTCTTAACCAGCAATTTCAAAGAGCAAGCGAGCACGGTAACAGCATTGTGACAGCTCTGCCCTAACTCTGCCCAATTTCTAGTAATTGCTGGAGGTCACGGTGCACCCAGGTGATTTCTTTTGGCACTTTGCAATCACACAGCAAGAATCAGAGAAAAAGAGCAGTTCTCCTCTGGGAAGGTGTTCACCCACTTCCCTGTGCAGGTACTTATACACACATGCACACACAATCACTGTCCCCTTCCCCTGGGAAGACACTTCCCTGTGGTCCATAAGGACAAATTTGGGCCAGTCCCCAAGCTTCAGTCTGCCATCCTGCTTCACAGAGTTGATATGAGAGTGATGGAAAAATGCTCAGCAAAGCCAAAACCACCACAGACAAATGGCTGGATACAGTCCCAATTTGTCACATCTCAGTGTTGTCAGCTACTCCAGCTCTTGACAGGAACCTCATGATGTTCAGCAAGGAAAAGTGCAAAGCCTTGTACCTAAGGAGGTACAAACCCATGCACCAATATATGCTGGGGGACACACACATGGAAAGTGGTTTGACAGAAAAGGACCTGTAGGACCTGGGGAACCAGATTGAACATGTCTGTGCTGGAAAAAAAGAGAGCAGTATCCTTTGCTGACTTAGATAAAATACTGCCAGCAGGTCAAGGAAGGTGATTCTTGCCTTTTACTCAGAGGTGGTGAGGCCAGTATTTGCAGTCCTGTGCCTGGCTGTGGGCTCCCCAGCACAAGAGAGACATGAACATACTGAAGAGAGTCCAACCAAGGGCCACGAAGATGATTAAGGGACTGGAGCATTTCTTATCTGAGGAAGGGCTGAGAGAGCTGGGACTGCTCAGCTTGGAGAAGGCTTGGAGGGGGGGCAGATCTTACTGAAGTGTACACATATCTGATAGGAGGGTGCAAAGAGGATGGAGCCAGGCCCAGTGGTACCCAGTGACAGGGCCAGAAACAATGGGCACAAAATGAAGCACAAGAGGTTCTGCCTGAACACCAGGAAAACACTGTTTTACTGTGAGGATGACAGCACACAAGTCACACACAGGTCACTTGAGCACTAGCACAAGTTGCCCAGAGATGTTGTGGAGTCTTCATCCTTGGAGATATTCAAAAACTGCATGGACACAGCCCTGGGCAACTGGTCCTGCTTGAACAGAGGTTTAGACAGGATGACTTCCAGAGATCCCTTCCAACCTCAACCATTCTGTGATTCTGTGATGTTCCTGACAGCTGATGGTTAAAGATTCAAGGTTACTTACTTACTTTACCTTACTTTACTTATGAAGGTGTAGGGCATTGATCTGTGCAGTGATTAATAAGGATTTGGAGAAGAGTTGGGGGCTGGTAATGATAGGAGATGGCTTCATGTACTCTCTAGAAATCCTTTTCCATGGTGCTTTGCAGGCTGAGAGATACCACTCACAAAAATATGGGTTTTAAAATGCATCTCTTCTTATAAAAGCAAAACTGGTAAGAAATCCCTTGTCACTGTTTTAGGTAAGAAAAGCATCTGTCCTGCATTAACCACAAATACAGAATGCATGGGGAAGATAGGGAAAACAGAGCTGGAGCAATCATTTTGCTGTAAACAACAGCAATCATTTTGCTGTAAAAATAAAAGAAAGGAAAAACTATGATTTTTCTAAATCCCCCCTTACCACTTCAGTGAGATCATCAGCGTCAGGTGAAAGAAAGAAGCCACAAATTTTAGCATTCAAGGTTACCACTCTGCTCATCTGGTCTGACCTCTTCTTTTCATAGGACAAACCATTTCATCGTGTCCTTTCTCCACCAAGACCAAAGCTTTGCTTTGTGCCAGAGCAGACCTTTTGCAAAAGCCCTTCCAGCCTCATTTAGAGACTTCACATTTTCACACTTCTTTCAGCCCTGTGAAGCTCATGATTCTGGATGTAAGAAGCATAGAATACACTAAAATGACTTTTTTTTTCCAATTCAGCACAAAGTCCAGCATTATTTTACCTGCTCCAATCTATATCTATCCATCTGCAATAGTGTGACAAAAAAGTGCCCAGTTCTTTTGTTTCCTATTTACGACCCAAGAGAACAAAAAACGTAGCAGCAAGATGCTGGGGTATGAGTGGGAAGGTGAAAATGTATACAGGCTGCCTCGGGTCTGAAATAATCTGTACAGGGTACATTTCTCCATTTCTTGACCTTGTTGCAGACTGGATAAGTTCAGAATTATATTTAAAACCAATGTGTATGTTTAAATAGACCAGAGAAAAATTTGCATAGCTGCCTACTGCTGTCAATGTTTCTTCAAACGATTCTCTCCTTTCTTTTCCTCTATAGAGAGAGACTTGAAAAGAATGATAATTTTATCTCCTGTATTAGTGACCGCCTGTCCTCGCAGATATTTTCACTCTGGAAGGAGTAAAGGAGCTGCACAAATAGCAGGTGTAAGGGGGGGGAGAACCTACTTGTGAGAAAAAGCAACACTTCTGATGCTCTCTTCAGCTCGGCTGGATTGTGTCTCTCTTCCATAGCACCACTTGAAAAATAACACTCTGAACCTGCACCATTGCACTCAGATTCTTGGGAAAAAAAAGCAACATCATCAGATCACACACCAGATCAGGCCAGCAGCTGCTCCTCCTTACAAGAAGTTAAACTGGGTATTTCAGACAAAAATGTTAACTACCTCAAATGGAAAATTCTGGAATAGTATACACATACAATGATTGTTTCCTCTGGTTCTCCTTAATTATTTTCCTTTTTGTGGACAAAACAAGAAGCATCTGTACCCCTGCTTTAAACAAAACCCTCGTGATCTGCATTCATTCTCATGATCCAAAACAAGGGTCTCTTAAACAGGAGCCTAGCAAAATATTTCCCTGTTCCTGTCCATTACTCAAAACAAAACTCCTGCATTCTCAATAAACTGAATATGAAGATTTAACAAGCCCATAGAGTTAACAGAATAGAACATGAAGAAGGTCACCATGCTGAGAGACATGGACTAAGCTATTCTCTGCCTTGGCCCAGCTGTAATGTTGCCCTGCCAAGCCTGCAACTTTCTTCTTCCTCCATGCAATTTAGACACAATTAAACATTTTACATCCACAAGATATTTTCCATGTCTCTTGCTCTAATTAGGACTGCCCTCTGACTGTGGGGCTAACAGCTGGAGGTGACTTGGTGGCATACTTTACACAGTGGCTGAGCCAAAGGTTTCTCTGAAGAGAAGAAAAAACAGGAGGACTAAATCAATTAAAAAAATAAATAGATATTTCTTTCATATCTTAGATGCCAT